ACTGACCATTCTGTAGATAATAAAAAATAATTTTTACTAAACTCAGGAGTAAAAATTTATTTCAAAAAAAATACTTGGAGGAAAAATTGTGAATCAAAATGATGTGAAAAATTTCGGACATGAACTATTCAAGTTTATTTGAAAAATTTAATAAGGCTGTAATTAAGAGAGAAAATAATAAATCTTCAAACTAAATTATATACACTGGAGAACAATTTAATAGAAATTATTATTTAATTTCATTTTTTATGTTTTTTAATATTAATTTTTTTTCTCTTTTTTTTTGTTTCAGGTGAGACAAATGATTCCTGCGTCGAGTTTATTTCGTAAGTAAATATAATATTGAAATATATAATAATTCTATAATAAGTAAAATATAATATTTCAATATTAAATAAATATTAAATTGCCTCCAATTTTGATATCAAATTTCATATTATTAAATTATTGTTTTAAATTATTTAAAATAAAACAATTTTCTGATAGATATTTAATTGTATCGAATTTTTATTATTATCAAATTTAAATTTATTAAATTATTCGATATTATTCAAAATTATTCGAAATTATTCGACAGAAAAAAATTATTTGATACAAATTTAATAAAAACTTTTAATATTAAATTTCAATTTATAAAAATAATTTTGACTTTTAATTTGAAATTGTTTGACAAAAATTGAATTTTATCAAATTTTTATTTTCAAAATTTAATTTATTAAATTATTGTTTAAAATAAAATTTGATACAAATTTAATAAAAACTTTTAATATTAAATTTCGCAATTTATAAAAATAATGTTGATTTTTAATTTGAAATCGTTTGATAAAAATGGAATTTTATCAAACAATTTCAAATTTTAATTTATTAAATTATTATTTGAAATTATTTGTGTTAGATAAATTTTTTTCCAGTTCAATAATTTATTTACTCTTTCTGTTTTATTTTCCGTATGTTATAATTTTAACAGTATACTAAATGTTTAAACAAAATTCCCAATGGAAATAATTTATTTTTCCTGATAATTCTTTAAAATTTCTAACCTTCAAAACGAGAAAGATTTTTCGAGGTAATTGGATTTCATTTCCTTCTTCGAGTGTTTATCAGTATTCTAGTGTGTAACTAAGCTTTAAAGACGTCTTTTTCTCTCTCGCTCACCAAGGACGCAAATGATATACACAAACTTTTTTGATAGCGCACGGCTCTCGATTATTATTATTATTATTATTATTTTAAAATTACAATTAAAAGTAAGAATCCACAAAAGATTTATTTTTCATTTGTTTTTTTCTCCACTTATTGCTATTTTTAGATTATTTTTTCTCCGCAATGTTTTTTCAACGAATATAAATAAAAATTCATAAAGGAAAGAGTAATTTTTATTTATAGATATTAATTTATAGGCCAGGACATTTTTTTCAAAAGAGAGAAACAAATTTTTTTTTTCTTCAGGACGATCATTGAACTCTCGTCGTTTCTCGTTGTCTGTCGAAAATCAAAAAGGTGTTCTTGATTTGATGATTTTTTGAGTTCAATGACCGTTCGCATTTAATTTAAAAATTCCACTTGCTTATAGCTGCGAGAGACTTTGAAGGATAAATTTAATAAAACGTCCATGACCAATACAATTATTTTATCTATTTTTTCGTTCAGTGAGAGAGAGAGAGAGAGAGAATTTTTTTTAGAATTTCAAATTTTTATTACACATTAATTATAATAATTTTGCACTTGTTTCTTGAGATTAGATGAAAGGAAAAAAACCAGTTTCTTTTTCAATCAAATTATGACTTAATATGACTTAAAAGCTAGATTAAAAATTTCTTCAAAAAGTCATTGAGTAATAAATGAAAATTATGACTCCTATCGATAAAAATATCGATATGATAGTTGAAAGAAATAAGGAAGATGGGAAGGAGAAATAAATATCAAAAGAAGGTGAATTAACAAAAAAAATTTGATTTGTGTAGAAATATTTATTATATTAGAAAAAATGTATGCTAACAAGGTTACAAAATAACCTAGGCAAAAATTTCGACACTTATTAATTATTCTAATCCCGTCACAAAAAAAACAACGGTTTCGAGCTCTTGTTCTCTATTTTCTATACCTTATACACTCTTATGGAGCGCCACCCATTTTTGGCTCATCGCATTAAAAAAAAAAAAATTGTTACATAAGTATCGGAAAAAGATATGATTTATATTTCGCAGTCAACAATATTAATTATTTTTGAGCTTCTTTACTATCGTTATTTTAGAAAAAAATGTCAATTGACGTTCTTATACAAAATGGGCACGTGAGGCACTTTTTCTTTTTCTTTGACATTCTCAAAATCAAAAAAAAAATGTTCAAAAATTCATTCGAAATTGAAAATTCAATTTTTTCACGGATTTCATTTTTTATTATTTGAGTTTATATTTTTGTATTGAATTTTGTTTTTGTATTCGATTTTTTGTTTTTGTATTTAATAATTTCTTGTTTGTAGGTATTCGATTTTTTATTTTTCTATTCGATAATTTTTTGTTTGTATTCGATTTTTTATTTTTGTATTATTCGAGAATTTCTTGTTTGTATTCGATTTTTTATTTTTGTTTCTAGCGTGAAAAATTTCGATTTAGCGAGAGAAATTTTGTATTATTTGTCGATTATCAAAACATTTTGGAAAATTAGTTTTTCCAAGAAATTGTCGAAATTCTCAAAGAACGAAATTCGTGGCCTTTTTTTGAAACGAAAGTGGGGTGAGAAAAAAAACTATCGCCGAATAAAATAATAACCAATTATTACAATTTTACTATTTTTTTCATTTTAATTTATGTTTTTACTATTTTGTTGTATTATTTTATTTATTGATAATATTTTTCCATCTCTCTTTGATAATTATATTCTTCTGTATGTAATATAAAGGGTTTACCGGTAAAATTCGTAGAATAAAAAAAAAATTTTGTTTGGCTTAAAAGCCAAACAAATTTTTTTTTTTATTTTACGAATTTTGCAAAATTTTTTTTTTTTGTTTAATTTCTTTTTTTTAAACTGAAAAAATCTTTTTACTTTGAAATTAAAATTTTTCAAAGTTTTACACATTGCTTTCGAATGTTATGAACATTTGCACGTAAAGCTCTCTCGCGGGCAATGCAATATCGACGACCAAGATGGAAGCTGATGTTGCCAAACACGAGAAATTTCTGTAGCGAGTTTGAATGCTAAATCGAATGTCGCTGGTCTTTGAGAATTTCGCAATTTCTTTCTCCCACTCTCCTGTAAACACACACGCACGCACACACAAACACACACAATTTGTGTATATCTAATGTCTTCAACACACTAAAGTTACGCCTGTATATACGCAATCGTTACATAATTTCTAATACGTGCTAAATAATGAGAAAACGCTATCATCATTTATTAAAAATAAAAATAAAAAAAAAAATTTTCACTCTCTTTGATAATCAACAAAATATGACAATTACATTTTTTTTTTATTTTGCTTTCACTGTTTTTTCTCTCGCTTCAATAATAATATACAAAAACCTTCCTGATTATGTTTTCCATTTTTTTCAAAAATTCATAATGAATTCTTAATTTTTTGTTCGTTGGAATTTTTTTCCTTCGCATTTTTCATTAATTTCAATTTCTTTCCCATTTTTTTTTTTTTTTTGGAGAAAAATCGAAACGTTTTTTTCCATTTTCGTAATATTTCTTAATTTAGAAAAAAAGTACTTTCATCGGAAAAGTAAGTGGGCACAATTTTAGCAAAAAAAAAAGGAAAAAGAAACCTAAAAAAAATTTTTTTTCCTTCCCCCCACAAAGAAAACATGAGATTCGTTTATATTCGGGTGGCTGCTGCCCTTTTTTTTCAATAAAAATCTTATTCTAAACGAGACTTACACCTACAGAGGTACACCATCGTATAAAAAAAATCGTACTTCGAAATAAAATAGTTTTTTTTTTTGTTTGCTTTCGGTGCGAATTTATAACCGATCACAGTTTATCACTCACCGATTTTTTTTAACGAAAATCGGAATTTAGCGATACGGACAAAAAAATAATATTAATGCAAAAAGGACTATTACAAAATCCTGATTTTATGCGCACTTATATAATCGATAACGCTTCTTTTCTTTTTAATAATAATTATTATGTATATAAATCGTGATAATAAATACAATGTTACAATGAAGAAAAAAAAATCGATGTGTGCAATGATTAGTATTTATGAAACGATAAATGATAAATATTTACAAGTTTATGAAAAAAAATCACACTGACGACAAAAAAATCACAAAAAAAAAACTCTTTTCATTAAACGCTATATATATACTTGATGTTGACACGGAAATTAATACTGGCAATCTTTATTTTAAAACAATTATTTGTATAATTATTTGTTTAATTATTTATATAATTAAATATAACTATATATAACTATTTATATATTTATTTATATAATTATATAAATAATTATTTATTTAATTATTTATATATACCTATAAATAATTATTTACTTAATTATTTATATTAATAATTATTTACTTAATTATTTATATAAATAATTATTTATTTAATTATATATACTACAATATATACGTAATTTAAAAGAAGAGTAAATTCTGATTGGAATTTAACATTATTGCTTAATTTTAATTATTTCCTTTAATATTTCATTATACTTCATTAGCCGATTGATGGTTGATTTGAATTTTTATTTTTTCTAGCAAAAAAATAAATTCAACATGACTTGCTTCATTAGTAGCTGACTCGCTTCGTTCTTATATTTCTTGTTTTTTTAAGTACCTCAATATTTATAATACGTAATTTACAAAAAGATCTTCTTGTAATTCCCATTACAGTCACGTTTATTTTTATGTAATAATTTTTCACTAATATTGTAAAATATTTTTTTCAATTTTTTTCTTATTTTTTTTTTTAAAGTAGTTCCATTATTTGTTAACTGATAAACAAAAGAATTCACGAATTCAAATATAATCACATGAAAAAAATCATTTTTTTCTTTTTCAATAATTATTCTTTGATGATAGAATTTCAAAATTCCAAAAAATAATGAATTATCGGAAAATTTCCCAAAATTCGGAAAAGTGATAATAAACGGAATACCTGCATTTGGAAATAACGATTAAGATAAGTTAACTGTATTTATGTCAATCTGATAATTTTTACACCACAATTTTAACAATGTGATAATATTTTAATTACTGTATAATTATTTATGAACATTGTAAATTTTTTTTTTTTTTTGAAAAAAAATTCTATTTTCAAATTTTTGGGTGTGAAATTAATGAAATTATACAGAATTCGTGAATAATAATAATAAAAAAAAAAAAGAAAAATAAAATGATTGCCAACTATTTTCTCCCAAGTCATACATATCCTTATACACGATGACACACGTTGGGAAAGGCAACGATGCGAGACGCGACAAAACTGACTTTACTGTTGTTGCTGTTTTTTTTTCCTCTTTTCATTTTACGTACCGATTTATACGTATTAATATGCATAATGCAGTATATATGTATATATACAAGTGAAATTTAAAAAAAAAAAAATAATCGAGATGATCGATGATGAAAACGCTGATGAAGCAAACGAAGTTAATGAATATATCGCGAGCTACAAAATATTCTATGTTCATGTTCAATAAAACAAGTCAAGTGCACAAAAAAAAAAAAAAAAATAAAAAAAAAGGATAAAATAAAAAAATAAAAACAAAAATGTGACGTCGACTCCTTTGCAGGTGAGTAATATACATATATAAGACACATACTAGTGCGAGTGTACGTGCAATATGTATATAAACTTATCACAGATTTCACTTGGAACTGAATATTTTCTTTAATCGGCGGAAGTGGAGAGACTTGACGAGGATTTTTTTTCGATATACAATTTAGTTTTCTTTCTTTTACTTTCAGTCGTTTTTCCCAAGTTTCATTCTGAAAGAGCAGCTATTTGAATATTGTTCCACCTCTTGAAATTAAACGGCACGATTTAATTGTATTGTGGCCACTCACTGCAAAAAAACAAACAGAGGGGAAATTTATTTTATTATAGTCAATTTTCATATGTAAATGGATAAATTAAATACATAATTAGTTTTTGTACATTGGAATTAAACGGAATTTTTTATTAATTGAAATAACTTTTTTTTTTATTTATGGAAAATAACAGTAGTAATTTTAATAATAATAATAATAATAATAATAATAATAATAATTTTCAGGCAAAATTTTGACTTTTTCCCTGGCCCTGAATAATATTCTGATTCACTCTAAAAATGATTTGATGCTAAAAAAAAATTCTATTACATTTATTTACGAATTACTTTAATTCTAAAATCATGAGAAAAAACAACAATAACTTCTTTTTAAATAATTAATCATTGTTATTTTTCCATAAGGATTAAGATTTTCAAAAATTTCAAATTCAAACTTTTTTGAAATTCAACAACTTATAGTAATTAAAGATGACCGAGTCCTGTTACATTTATTTAGGAATTTCTTTAATTGTAAAATTTTTCTCGAAACTGTAACTTCTTGAAAATTATTTCTATAATTTCAATTCAATTATATTATTTTCTAGAATTTCTAACTAGTATTCTTCTTTAAATCAATTATTTTTAATATTGTTTAAAAAAGTTCTTTGAAAATTTTTAAATCAATTTGTTTACAATTCAATTTTACGAAATTTTAATTGTTCGGAAATTTTTCAATTTTACATTAGAAAATAAAAAAGTCAAATAATTTTTTTAAAAAATTCAATTAAACTTTTTCAATTCAATTTTTAAAGATTTTAATTTGAAACCTATTGAAAATTCAATTATTTCTAAAAATTCACGCTTCACTGCTTTTAATATTCAAAATCATTATTTAAAATTTAAACTAAAATTCATTTTCAATCCAATTTTTATTAGAAAATTCAAAAGGAATTCAATTATTAAATTACAAAAATAAATAATTCATTGAATAATTAAATGTTTCTTAAAATTGAATTTTTATAAAAAATTTCATCAAAATTTCTTAAAATAATTAATTTCTTTCGAAGAATTTTAATCAAATTTTTAATAGGTGCATTTTTTGGGAAATTCATTTAACATCTGTATTAAAAATCATTGAAATTCTGTGATAATTTTTATTATTTATGAAAATAATTAAAATTTTGTTAAGAAGTTTATAAAATTTTTTTTAAATAATTGATTTTTTTCGAAAAATTTTATGAAAATTATTGTATTTTAAGTAATTGAATTCTTTTGACAAATTTTAATAAAATTTTTAGTTTTATATTTTTTGAGGAATTCGATTAAAATTGTATTAAAAATAATTGAAATTCTGCGATGAGTTTTACTATTAATTAAAAATAATTCAACTCCTAAAAGGAATTTTATTATTTATGAAAATAATTGAATTAATGCAAAAAAATTTTTGAAAAATTTGTAAATAATTGAATTCCTGTGAAATTTTTATTATTTATGAAAATAATTGAATTCTTGCAACGAATTTCATTACATTTTTTTTTAAATAGTTGAATTCTTCAATATCTATTAAAATAGATATTGAAAATCATTGAATTGTAGAAAGTTTTTGAAAATAATTGATATTTTGACAAGAATTTTATTAAAGATTTTAAAAATAATTGATTTTAGGGAAGAATTTTAATATTTATAATGATAATTGAAATTTTTATGAGAATTTTTTTAATATTTATGAACATAATTGAATTTCTGCATTCTAGAAATTTGATATTTTTCTAGTATTTTTGACAAAATTCCCTGACTTTTTAAAATTAATGAGGACAATATTTATAAATAAAAATAATAACAGAAACAATAATAATTATTATTATAATTATAAATAAACAGAATAATACTATTACTAATAATTATACTACTACTACAACAACTAATAATAATAATAACAATACCTATTATTAAATAAAAACGATACTAATAACAATAAATAATTATTATTTTTACTATTATTATTACTATTTTTTATATAATAAAACTTAGTGATTCCATCCAGTAATTATTTTAGTTTTATTTTCAAAAAGAAAATTAAAAAACTTTTATATAATATTTTTTTTATTAATTATTATTGTTTCGTACTAATTATACAAAAGGGGTTTGTTTATTTTTGTAAATAAATAAATAATTTTATTTCTATTTAAAACGATTAGTAAGAACCATAACGATTTGTTGGAACAATGATTATTATTAATTTAAAATTATCATTGAATTGATTATATCTGTATCTTTATCTAAAAAAAATTCAAAACGATGATTCAAATGTTTCTTTGAATTAAAAGGAAGATTTTGCATACACGCCAACTCACTGAAAACCACTGAGTCATTTAATGACAATTTTTCCAACTATTTGATCTCATATATGATTCGCAACTATATTTATATATATAAATGAGGAAGACACAAACATAAAAAGTTTTTGATCTAAATAAAATTATTATATTATACATTTACTTTTATAATAAACCCATAATTACAAATCTAGTTTATTTCTTTCTTTGAATTTTAAACTATAGTTTTGTTATAGTATGAAAACTAAATTATGACAATAATTATAACCCTAAATAATTATATACGAAAAAAAACTTTCAACTGGAACAGCGATAATTTTTTCTTGAATAGCAAAGGTATTAATTGCGTCAACTAAAAATATCGCTAATTCAGTGAAATTTATACCTTTTAAAGGTAAAAATTTTTTTTCGACTATGGTTTCAAAAATTAATTAATAAATGATGTTAATAATATCAATTGTTTAATGTTAATGAGTAAATATATAAATAAATAAAATAATAAAAAATATCAGTTTATTATTATTAATTAATTATTTTTAAAATACTTTCACGATTATCTTATTTTATACGTCTTCCAAAAATCGAAAAAATAATTTATTTTGGTATTATTACTATTATTTATTATTATTCATTAATAATTAAAAATTAATAATAAAGAAAAACAATATAAATACAAATATAGTAGAAAATTTTAATTTTCGTCTTGAAAGAAAAATATCGATCAAATAAAAATACACAGTAAAGAGAACTTATTTAATATATAAGTTTCCCCTTTATAAAAATATAATATTATATAAAACGTAGAATTTTTTATTTATGAAACTAATTTTCTCTAATATGTATAAAACTAAAAATAAGTTCTCCTTTTATTTCATGTTTTATCCTCATTTATTTTTATAAATATAAATAGTTAATATTAATAAGAGTTAATTTTCTTATCTTAAGTGTCAGGAAACGATTAAAGTAATAAGTATAATAATTAAATATTTTTGATTCATTTCACAATGTATACATAAATTTACATAGTTTTCAATGTTTTTTTTTCATTGTTTCATGTTTCTATATATGTGAGTTCATTAAAAATCGTTTAGATATATTAACAAAAAAAAAAACATTCATGGAGGAAATTATTATGAATTTTAATGGCTTTTTTGAAAAATATTGAGAAAGCCGTTAGAAAATTTTCTTAAAATAGGTAGCAATAGTAATTTTAATGAAAAAATCTTTTTTCTTATAATAAAACATAATAAATTAACTTTCTACAAGTATTAGATTTTTTTTATATATCAATTTCTCTCTATAAATATATTCTTTATTTGAATTTTTTATGCTTTTATGTAATTGTAGGATTTATACACTATAGAAGGAAAAATATAGAAAATTTTTTTTAAAGAAAACTTTTTTATTAATTAAAAAATTATTTTTCAAAAAAAAGTATTTTTTTAAATTCTTTAAAAAAACTGTCTAAAAATTCTAATAAAATAAAATGAAAAATTTTTTTAAAAATGGAAAAATTGTGTTTAAAGTTTAAGAAATAATCTGACGGACATTCAAAACAAAAGTTAATCCAATATCAGAATTTTTAATTTTAAAAGAAAAAGACAAATTTTAAATTCGTTTCGGTAGAAGCTTTAGGAATTTAATTTTGAATATTTTAAACAATTAACAGTTGCATTTGAGTAAAAATTACAATTTTCTGTCACAAGGGAACTTTAAATTATTTAAAATGTTGAAAATTGAATTCCTTACGATTTTACCAAAACGAATTTAAAATTTAATTTGTTTTTTTCTCTCTTAAAATAAATAAATACAAAGTTATAGCATTGGATTAACTTTTATTTCGATTGTTTAGCGGATTCTTAAATTTAGTAAAAATTTTTCTGTCTTAAATTTTTTTTTTAGAAAAGTGAGTCTTAATTTTAGATAATTTTATCGAAATTCGATGAATTGACTATAAAAGTTTCTTAAAGTTTAAAATCACATTTTAAAATGTCTATCACAATCGTAAATTTTTTTTCACTATTATTTATTCCCAAATTGTATAAATTAAAAACTGAAATTCAACCTTCCTAGAAAAATCTAATCAAATAGTAAATTAAATCAATATGTACATTATCTCTTCCGTGATGTAATATGCAATATTATTTCATAAAATAAAAAAATTTTTATTCCCTTCCCGACAAAAAATTTATATTAATTTTACCAATTTTTTTTTTTTTTTTTTTGCTATGTACTAAATAAACCAGTTCTATTTTATAAGCAATTTTTTTCAGCAAATCTTTTTGATTCTTTTAGCAATTTTTTTCCATCAACTGTTATATAGTACTTTTATAGCAATTGTTATTAAATAATTGAAAATAATCTAAGAAAAAATTCATCAAGAAGAATATTGACAGATTATACAATATATAATTGCAGAAAAATATTACAAAACTATTTACTCAGTTTAATATACGTTATAAAAATGGACTTATATAAGCAGGTTAATTTTTTTTTTCAAATGAGTTTTTAAAAGTCGCATTTCTATTTAAGTTTCTATATAATAGTTATGGCAGTTACTATTATCAGGTTTGATTGTAGTTCAGTTCAGGTGATGCCCTTGAAGTTTTGTATATATATTATATATTTAACATGTATATATATATTTAACAGAACAAAATTTTTATTTGATCTTTATTGAAAATCAAATTTACTTAAAAAATTTATTAGTTCTCTTATCAAATTACTGTCTTCTTTTTCTACTTGATTGTAACAAAAAAAAAAGAAAAAAGTTCTACGCACATTTACATTTAATTTGCATTATTTCAGTTGCTGATGTAATTTAATATACAATATTTAAACAGAAACACAAAATTTCCATTTAAATTAACGTTTTAGAATTATATATACCAAAAAAAACATGCTGCCCTTGAAGTTTTTTGAATTTTTTAATTTGAAATTTTATCTTATAATTCAAACAATGTTTCAATTATACTTTTATTAATTTGATAAATGGTGTAAATAAATATTAATTAATTTCCTTTAAATTTTTTAACTTATCTAAATTTACGTATTTTTCCGTCAACCTTTGAATATTTGTATTACAATTTGACAACTTTTTTTTCTAGTTCATTTAATTTTTCACAACGCAATTTTTATTATTCCTATTAATATTATTATTCCTGTTATTTTTATTATTATTATTACTATTATTATTTTTCCTATTATTATTTTTAATATTATTATTATTATTATTATTATTTTTCCTATTATTTTCATTTTTACTGTTTTTTATATTTTTAAAAAAATTGCACCAAAAATCCTTTTACAACACAATTTTTCTTTGGTTACAAAATGAAATTTGTTGAAAATCATACTTATATAAAGAAAAGATTTTTTTACTCTGAAATTTTTCCAATTTACGATAAATAAATAATGAGGAAATTAATTAATAATTGGGACTGTTATAGAGAAAAATATAAATAGTTACAGTCGAAACTGATAAATAGAAAATGTTTATATGACGTAAACTTTACTAGACCTGAGCTTTATTTGTCCAAATTGTTATCAAAGTAGAGCTTTATTTTTGCCCTAGTTATTATTAGACCAAAATTTTATTTGACACAATTTTTATTAGACCGAAGCTTTATTTTTCCTGATTTTTATTGGACCAGAGCTTTATTCGTCCTATTTTTTAATGGAAGAGCTTTATTTGTCCTAATTTTTATTTAACCTGAGCTTTAATTGCCCTAATTTTTAATAGGTCTGAGCTTTATTTTCTTTTAATTTCTGTTCAACCTAAACTTTCTTTAACCCAATTTTCATTAGACCAGAGCTTTAATCGTCCTAATTTTTAATGGAAGAGCTTAATTTATCGTAATTCTTATTTAACCTGAGCTTTAATTGTCCTAATTTTTAATAGATCTCAGCTTTATTTTGTTTTAATTTCTATTAAATCTTTCTCCCGATTTTTCTTTGACCCAAGCTAAATAGTTTGACCTAATTTAATTGTCCTAATTCTTATTTAACCTGAGATTTATTTTTTGCGATTTTTCTTTGACCTAAACTTAAAATATCCTAATTCTTATTTAACCTGAACTTTATTTCTCCCAAATTTTTCTTTGACCTAAACTTTAATTGTCGTAATTCTTATTTAACCTGAGCTTTAATCGTCCTAATTTTCAATAGACCTGTGCTTTATTTTGTCCTAATCTTTATTGGACCTGAACTTTATCCGTCCTAATTTTTATTGAATCTATACTTTTCCCCATTCTTCAGACCTAAACTTAAGTTGTCCTAATATTTATTATACCATAGCTTTACTTGTTGCTAGTTTTTTTAGACCTAAACTTAATTTTTCTTAATTTTTACTGAAATGAATCTTTATTTGTACCACTTTTTATTGGACCTAAACTTTATTTGTCCACATTTGACTTTATTTTCCCTACAATTATTAGACCAAAGTTTTTTTGTACCTAATCTTTACTGTGCCTGGATTTTATTAGATTATTATCTTTATTAGAGCTAATTTTTAATTGATGTCTCATTGCTTGATCTATTTCTGGTTTCAATTATTAGAACCTAATGTTTACAAATCCTGTTTGATCTAAAATAAGCTCATAGGTCACAACATTTTTTATACTTTAATATTTATGGAGCATAATTTTAATTTAAATACAAATGCTTTTTAGAATTTATAACAATTTAGAACATCAATGAAATGAAAATAGAGCAAATAAGAATTATAGTGTTAATAGAAATTAGGCTAATGAAAAATTATTAGTGTCGATTAGGCGAAATAAAAATTAGATTAAATAAAGATTAGGTCAAGTGAGAATGAGGGCAAATGATGATTATGCGATAATCAAATTTCAAGCATAAAAGTATTGTTTGTTTATTATTTGAAGAAAAATTAAGGGTTCCTTTAAAATTTATTACTCTAAAAACCGATTTTTTGAACACAAAATTGTTTTTTTTTTTTGTTTACGAATTCTATGGTTGAATAAATGAGTCCTGAAAATGAGATAGTAAACAGAAATAAAGAACTGGGAAATTTTCTCTTATCCAGTTTCGACTGTATTGAAAACAATAAAAAAAAAACAATGAAGAGAAATAAAAAAGAATTCTTACCTTCTTCCTCGTAGCTTCCTTCAAATTAAGAAAAAATGTCCATCAGCTAATTTTTCGTTTTGCTAGACACCATAGTAGTCGTACTGCACTCTACGTAACATGAGATCCATCGCTACCCTTGCATCCTCAGCTGAATCATGACTATTTGCCTGTATCGATTTATTCAAGAAGTGATGCGCTAAAAACTTGAGACTCTTACGCGAAAGAAAACTCGCATCATGAAGAAATGCAATACTCGTGTCAACTGCTTTTTTATGAACAATTCGCAATACACGTAAATCATTCTCCAAACCATGTCCAATTAATATTGATTCAGCATAAATAAATTGTAACAAATCATGTTGTACATCCTGCAATGTTTTTGTCACACCATGAAGTTGTTGTTCCGTAATACCACTGAATCTTGTATTAAAATCAATGATTTTTTCCGCCGGCTTCACATATTGATCATAAATCAATGTACCATTTAATGAGACAACCGATACTTTCGTCACTTCTAAACCATTTTTAGTAAAGCACATCTCACAATCAATAGCATAAACACCATAACCATTCTCAGGACCAAATGGCGCCGGTTGAGTTGACACAAAACCATCGAATGGTCCATTCGTTGCCTCGGCAATAATACCCGACCAAACATGAGTACTTGCCGTAATACAACCCACTGTTGTATCATCAGTATCACGTGAACAACACTCCCAACTGCCAAAACGACGTTTACCCCAATGATGCACGCACTTTTCAACAGCTAAATAATCACCGTTTCGCGAATCAACACGAAATGGTTGCGAGCAACGTGAGCATCGTCTCTCAATTTCATTAGTCGCTATTTCTTTATGTATCACTGGACCTGGTAAAATGCACGGTACAATATTTCTCGCACTTGAATCAACTGATGATGATGATGATGAGGATAATGATAGATTTGATGATGATGATGATGATTCACCAATATCCGAATTTTTATCACTATCCGATGAACTCTCTTGTTCAAGATCAGAATTCTCGAGGGAACTACCACTTCCATTACCACTGTCCATCTCGTTCTCCTTCACCTTCCATGAATTATGGAATATTTTCTTTGGAACAAATTCCCTTGCATTTGCATTTAAACTATGCAATGTTGTACAATGATGATGTCTTGAAAATGAGCATATCATCACAGAATTGCAATCACTTTTTTGCATAACTGGATAGCTGCCGTGTAATAATTGTCCTTCATTGAGTACATAATGCTGTAGCAAATACTCAATGTCGAAATTTTGCAAATGCCGCAATTGATAACGAACCATACTTGTATAAATTTTGAGATGTTTTGATGATGAATTCTCAGTGAGGACTGATGTTGGTTTACTACTATTACAACTATTACTGTTTTCGGTTGTGTCTTTGGTTTTCGTTTTCTTATTATCCTTCTGGTGGTGGTGGTGGTGGGAGTCCTTTTTCTTAATGACTTTTGGGTTGGGTTTCTTGGGGGCGTCTTGATAATGACGGTCCTGCCTTTGCAGCCAATGGTGACGATTCCTTGGCAATATTGGCGAATCACTTGGACTTACATTATGATCGGCATCACGTTCCTGATGCTCACGACGTTGTTCACGTGTTGCTCGGGTTAAATTTTTCCGTTGACGTCGACTCAATGGCGCACGATCCTCACGAAGTTCCTTGGCTGATGACGATGATGATAGTGACGATGTGGAGGATGAGGAAGATGAGATTTCGGAAGCCTTGATGATAGTGCTGCTCTTCACCAGGTCCAGCTTCTCTTCGGGTGCGAGTCCGCAATCTTTATAGCACACACAAAACATATGTGTTAACCATCAGCGATGATAATTTTTTTTTTTTTTTTTTTTTTTTTATTGCTAAATTCTCTTAATCATATAGAGCAATAACATCATGCGTATTTGTCGCTTGTTTTTGAAGAAAAAATCTTTTGTTTTCGGAAAATTTCAAAAATTTTTGGCTTTAGCGATTATGCGCATGAATCTCAATGTTATGGCTCTAATAACGAGATTGTTAGTCATTTTATTTTTTGCGTAAAGCTCTTTTTTCTTTTCTATAAACAAACTACGGGACCAACACCAGTCTCTCAAATCTGAATTGTTATTATTATTAGTCAAAAAGCTATAAAATTTTGAAGAATTATTTTTGTAAGCACAATGTTTGTTATGAATTAATATTTCAATTTCAATTTCAATTTCAATTTCAATTTCAATTTCAATTTCAATTACAAATTTCAATTTCAATTACAAATTTCAATTTCAATTACAAATTTCAATTCAAATATTTTTTTACCAAATTTTTCTGTTTTTTAATAATTGATGATGACATTTTAAAAATGTCCTTTCAAAGAATGGGTGTAAATTATTCATGTCTCTAAAATTTTTAATGCTCAAATGAACGATACTTTTGTTACTATTTTTAATTTCTAATTTTATTAAAAAATATTTTGTTAATTCAAAGAAATCAGTTTCTTAGGCTCGTTTTATTTTATACTAAAAAATTTTTTCTTTGATACAAAAAGAGGCTTTTTGTTTGAAAAAATATTTTATTCAAACAACTATTCCTTGTTTTAAACAAATTTTCTTTGAATGAAAAAAAATGTGTTTTTTAAATCAAAGAAATTTTGTTAGTGTCTCGTTGCATAAAAAATAAATTTTTCTTTGATACAAAAAACCTCTTCTTGTTTCAAAAAAAATTTGATTCAGATAACTTATCTTTGTTTTAAACAAATTTTCTTTGAATCCAAAACATCTATTCTTTAAATCAAAGAAATTTTCTCATTGCTATAGGATTGAAGAAATAATTCTTTAATTTAAAATGAAGAATCTCTTTGAAGCAAATTAATTTTTTTTTTTGAATCAAAGAAATTCTTTTTGAACCAAAAAATGTTTCTTTGCAACATACAAATTTTTTAAACCAAAGAAATGTTCTTTGAATCAAAGAAAAATTAATTTCCAATCGAAGAAACAAGTTAAAGCAAATAATTTCTTTCAATCAACAAAAACTCGTGAATCATTTGTTTTAATTCAATTTATATTTAGAATAATCTTTTCAAAAATATTTAAACTAATTTTTAATTTTTCAATTGATTTTTGTAAATTTTGGTGAATTTTAGTAAATTTTATTAAATTGATGAACATTCAAAATTTGGGGAAAATAAATTACTGAATGGCTAATAAATATGTTGGTTCATTTATAGACGACTTGCATTTTTAAATTTTCCACAATGAACACCTGGGATTAAAGGGAATTCGAAAAGGAATTTACTTGTTGAAAATAATTTAAATACTGTTTGGGGAGACACTATTCTTTTATTATTAACTTTGGAAATATGTTTTTATCTGATTTATGTGCAATTTAAGAAAAATTTTTCATTGTACAAAAGAGACAATTGAACAGCGGGGCGCCCGGGTATGGAGTTAATGACACCTATCAGACAGTTTGCAGATGCAGGGAGTTTGCAAATTATTATTTTGAAAAATTTAGGGATTTCCGTCTAAATTGAATGGCGTCTCTTCTAATTTGAATCCGGTACAAACACTAACAGATCATTATCACTTTAAAGAACAAAAATTTTCAAAACAACTTTAATGAGTTGTTATTACCACAAAAATTCTAAAGTCTCTCAAAAATTACTTAAATTACCTCCAGATATTAATAATATTATTAATTAATATTAATGATATTAATAATATTAATAATATTAATCATTTTCTATAATTAATATTATAATAATTATTAAGTATTATTTGGACATAATTTATATACCTAATAGTAATAATTAAATATACTATTATTTGATTAAAATTATAACCAAATAGAAAAATCCAGGAGAAAAATAAAAATCACAATAATTAATAATATTCCCGTGGTAATTAAAATCGAAAACGAGAATAATGAGGAAAAAGGAAAATTGGTAATTAAATATATAAAAATAAAGTAATACATAAAGGTATCAGTCGTCTCACATATACACAAATGGAGATAATGAAAGCAAACAGGAAAAATGATCTCAATACCTCGCAGAAACTCCATCAGTAAAAGCAAAATATTTTTCAAATCTGGTGATGAGGACATTTTTATAAAAGAGCGTCTCTATTATCGCGTGTGCACCGTGTGTTAAAAAAAAATGAGAAGAAGAAAAAAAATTTATGCGCGTGGAATGTGTGTGCATTTATAAAAGGATTAAATGTAATCAAGATAAAATGTATACAATACATTCTATCTTGGGCAAATGATCGCATTAAAAAAAGAAAGAGAAAAAAAAATTGCACAAAACGATTTAATGTCTACGAGGAAAATTTACGCGTTAATTGACTGTTTAAAACGCGATTATAAAAGGTCCTTAACCTTTTTTTTTTCTTTTCTTTCAAACGATTTTCTTTATTAATACTTTACGACTATTTTTATCCTCGCTCATTTATAAATTTCGATCAATAATTTTGTTCAGAGAAAATTTCCGATTTTCTCAATATTGGAATTATTTATTTTTAGATTGTAAATGAATATTATTTATGAATTAATTGAAAACTCAATTATAAATATAAATTTTATTAATTAATTCAATTATTCAATTTTTTTTCAATAAAAATAAAATCTAAATTGACGAAAATTAACTTAAGTAATTAAAATAGTTGAAATTAAATAAATTTGGAATTAACTTGAAAAATTTTTAAATTATAATTGTAATTACAAAATTAACAAAAATTCATCAAATCGAATAAAAAATTAATGAATAATAAATAAATAAATAAATATTAAGAATTGCAAATTAATAAAAAACGTTAAAAACTAAATAAATGAAGAATAATTAAAGATTAATTATAATAGTTAAAATAATTGAAATCTAATTGAAAAGAAATAAAATCCAAATTACCAAAAATGATCCAAATTGACAAAAAAAATTGACTAAAAATTTACCGACTATTAAATAGAAACAATAGACGATAATAATAAAGAATAAAAATAAGGAAAAGTATAACACTGAAAGTTGGCGTAAATTAAAAATAAAATCTCGATAATTATTGTAAAATAAAAATTATTAACATCGCAAAAAAAAATGATTGCTTTGTCAATTTTTCAGTTAGAAAACTAATAAACATTTAAAAGAAAAGCAGGAAAACATTTCTTTTCATTTCTTTGAAACATCGAAAATAGTGAATTGAAGACTCTCGCTTCCTACTAATTTTCCGGACAATGAAGCACCAGATTCATTATTTAAGATTATTCGAGTGACTTAACAAACACGAGAATTTAAAATTACGTAATTTAAAAATAAAATTTCTCCTTTCTACTCGACTTGTCGTTTCTTTTTTTTTCTATACACACTGCAAATCAATAATAAAATCGTTAATTCCAGAACAAAAAACAAAACTCAAGGAAAAGAATAATTTAGAAAAGAAAAGAAAAAAAAGCGAAAATTATAAATATTTAATAAAAAAAAAAAAATTGTTACGATAGAGAAAAATTGCCACTTTCTTTCTAATCTAATATAATTTACAAACCGATTAAAATTGTAATAAGTGATTTTAAAAAGTTATGAAGAGATTTTAGCGCATATATATAGATTTTCTTACACATGTCGAATTGACACTTTCACTTTCTCTCGCGACTTTATTCTTGTAACAAGAAAGTCATTCCTTCGTCTTCAGCACATTATAAATGCGACAAAATGAAAAAAGAACAAAATAATCACGATTTCATGATGAGCAAAGACGATGTTGTTTTGAGTTAAACGAACGACGCGGGTATAAATGTTTTTTAAAAAAAAATATTCCCAGGTATTAAATATAAACTGGGTAGATTGTAAAATTGTCGAGAGTGGGTTACTGTGGCACTTATCCACATATATATACAATTATACTGATTACCGTTATCTCAATCAAAAAGAAAGAGAGCAAATTAATTTTCTTTCTTTCGCCTTTTGTTTTTTTTTTCTATAGGTATTTATAATTGAAAATTAATTTTAAAAAAATTAAAAGAAGATTTATTTGATTCAACTAATCGATTACTTGTCTATTATATGCAAATAAATATTTACTTGAATCAAATTAATTTTATTTAAATCAAATAAATATTTACTTGAATCAAATTAATTTTATTTAAATCAAATAAATATTTACTTGAATCAAATTAATTTTATTTAAATCAAATAAATATTTACTTGAATCAAATTATTTTTATTTAAATCAATTAAATGGTATTTAAATAAAATATTGAATTTATATTGAATCAAATATAATTTATTTCATTTAAGTTAAAAATTATTTGATTGAATATTTATTTGACAAAAGACAAGTGACATGCTATTCGAATTCAAATGAATTTTTTTTCAGATTTGAAATTTGTTTTCAAGTATTTTTTAGATATAATTGTAAGTGTGACAATTAAAAATTACAACTTTGAATATTATTACGTAAAATTTTGAATTTAATATATTGAATATTAAAAATAAAAAAGTGATAGAAAACTTGAATATTACTAAATTTAAATATTATTTTTTTTCGAACAATAAAAGAATTTGTTACAAAATATTCTTTTCTTTCTTTGACGCGGAAATATATTTTTTTTAATTACAAGTCAATTGTACATAAAACGAAATAGAAAGTAATTTAAAAGTGAAAATTAATTTGAATTGCAAGCCTCTTTAGTATGTTTGATACAGTTTTATAGACTCGAATGATTTATGCTCTAAACGTTCATCAAGTTGGGAGAAAATTATTTTATATTATTATATATCAGTATTCAGTGTTTTAATGTAAAATATTTGTTCTCGAATATTTGCACATCATTTTGATTTTTAATTAATTTTTCTTCTTCTTCAGATTAAAATTACCCTAAAATAGCATGATACTAAAAAAAGCTACAATAGCGTAGTAATAAAAATTATGCTACAATAGCGTAGTAATAAAAATTATGCTACAATAGCGTAATAAAAAAATAACACAAATGTGTTTGGAAATTTGACAGAAAAATATTTGTCGTTATATTTGATTCATTCAAATATAAAACTATATAAGTTAGGAAATTATCTTCAATCCTAATAATTTTATCTGTAGGCTCAAGATTTCTTGAGAAATGTGAATATATTTAATTCATAATTGGTATATTTAATTGTTAAAAAATTTATATTTTATTCTATTATTTTTTTGTATTCATAATATTCTTAATTATCAAAGTTCATTATTGCAAAGCTTGTTAGAGATTTTTCAAACAAAAATATTCTCTTGCGAGGGAAAATTCTCTTACAAAACAAATACATATATTGCTCTGGAAAAAAAAACAAAAATAAATAAGCATCAAAGCCTGGGTTTGAAAAGTGGAAAAAATTTCTTTTTAAAAATCTAAATCCGAATTATAATTATTCATAATAATATGATACTACATAATTATGGTATATAATTAATGCATTAATATAGAATTAATATATTAATGAATAATTAATGTATAATTAATACATAATTAATATAATTATAATTAATACATAATTAATATATAATTAATATATTAATGTATAATTAACATATAATTGAATATTAATGTATAATTAATGTATACTTAATATATAATTAATGCATAATTAGTTAAAGTAGCTAGTAACATATATTATTAGTAAAAAATCATCCTTTGATTTAAATTAAATTAGAAATAATTTCTCCACATATTGTTTAATTTTTCACTAAAATTATACTTAAAAATATAGCACTATGGAAAAGTTAAATTTTTTGTAATTTGTTAAAATGATTACTTTAAATTAATGGATGATTTTTCATTAGAATTCAGATTTAGGGAGAACATTCAAGGAAACGAAATTTTTATACGCATTTTTTTCTAAGAAAATAATGCAAAAAAATTTGTAATAAATATACAAATGCATTTCTAAACATTCGTAATATTTTAATTATTTCGAAAAAGATGAAATAAATTTTTACAGTTAAATTATTATTTTAAAATTAACAAATTAAAAATAGAAATATATTTTATTTTTTAAAAGATTTAAATACATTTTATTCTCTAACAATTTTTAAACAAAATATTAAATATTAAAAATTAAATAAGTGCCAAGTTTTTATTTTTAAATCAAAAAATATTTTCTTTTCTATTATTGAGAAAAATATTTTTTTAAATTATAGTTGCAAGGAAAATAATAATAATTATTAATAATAATAATATTATAATATAATATATAATAATATAATAATATGATAAAATAATTTTTCAGTGTACTTAAATTAATTTTTTACACTCAAGAATAAATTTTATTCTTCAATTAGTTATTTATTATTTTATATTCTTTACTGCTTCCTCATGGAACAATTTTTTTTATTATTTTCTTTAATTTTCTTTAATTTTCTTTTAATTTTCTTATTTAATAAAATTTAAATAAAAATATTTTTCTTTATTTTTTTAACGGAAATTTTCATAAAATAATGAAAATATATCTCCAATATTATGCATTTATTACTTTTCTCCAAATAATATCTCCAACCAAAAAAAAAAAAAAAAATCTCGAGATTTTTATTCCAAAATTTGAAATGATGCCAAAAAATTTCGTTCACCTGAATATTGAAATATGACTAATGTAAATATAATAGGAGAAGATTGCTGGGAATGATAAATTTATTACATATTCTTACCTTCGGCACAGCTTGCAAGGAATTTCCCATTGCTGGAAAAATTGATATCCCGAACTGGTGCTGTGTGACCCTTTAATGCTCCCACCATCCATGAGTGATTAAATTCCTGTTGTGCTTCACGTCTCTTCTTTCTGGCACGTTTACTATTCGTCATTGTATTATTTGTACCTGGGCCAGACTCAGATAATGTCGATTCTTGTTCTTCCGTCGATTTTTGAATATCCTTATTGTCACTGTCTGCAGAAGAAAAAAGAGAAAAAAATTATTTTTCAAAAATTAATGCGTCACATTGATATAGGTATTTTTTTTTGTTTGTGAATTTATCAAAGATATCTCACAGATATATCTCATGGGTCATAACTTATTTGTATAGTAAATAACTGTCAATGACTTGAGAAGGTCAATGCTCGAGAATTGTAAAATTTTCTATAAAAATTAATCCATAAAAAAATATATATATTGATTCCTATCTTTATTTTTTTAATATTGATTAATAATATTAATATTATTATTATTAATTATTAATATTAATTAATTAATATTAATTTTCACGGGTTTTTTTCAAACCCTTGTAAGATTGAAATAAATAAATTATTATTATTATGCTACAAATATAAGTAAACAATCGAAATATATTTCTTGCGTTTAATAATAATTGATAATAATTAGTAACAATTAGAGTATAATAATTATTATATTGATAATTATAATTACAATTGCAAGTGTTCCGTTTCTTTCCTATCTTTTATCAATTGATTAGCATGTCAAATATTTTTAGACGTTTGAAAAAAAAATGCGTTTTAGAAATCTCTTATCTCTACATTGTGAATGAATCATTTAGTGTAAAAAGGTGAGTTAATTTCAATATATATATATATACTAAAAAGTAGATAGTGCCGCTTTCTTAAAATCTACGTCGAAATTTTTTTTTTTCAAGAACAAAGATAGCAATTATTTTAAACTTATTCTTCATCCATTTATATACCTGAATTTATGAGTCACTGATACCTGTACAATAATACAAAAGGAATATCAAATGTCCGAAAAGAATAAAGAAATAAACAGGATAAAGGGAAATTCAAACAATCGTTTAACTTCAATTATAGTTTTTAACTCCAAAATAATTTATTACTTTAAATTTATATTTACAGGGCTCGGATTATGTGACTTTTTCGACTTTTTTTTCGATTTTTCTAAAGAAATGTGACTTTTTTGTAAAAAAATGTGACTAATCGACTTTTTCGAGATTTTTTTTTTATAGTAAAATATGACTAATTGACTTTTTTCAAATTTTTCAATTACTTTTCGACTTAAATTTTAAATAGCAGAATTATTTTTTTCTAAACAATATTTTTAACAAAATCATTCTTCTCTTTGGGGGAAATGAAATATATAACATATTCTCGTTTCTTAATATTTTTGTAGGAAATTCTCAAATTCCATAAGGAAATAATTTGCATCATTTCTGTTCCTTAAGTACAATATTGATGCTTTAATAAAATTTAAAGTTTTTTAAAAATAAATGAAAAAAAAGGTTTATGAATTCTATTTGTCAATTTTATTAGAAATTTTAATTGAGAATAAAATTGAAACTTGTAAAATTTTTAGAAAAAAAAGGAAAAAATTTTAGTAAAAAAAAAATGATCTGTTACATTTATTTACAAATTTCTTTCAAATTTTTCGAAAACATTAATAACTTCTTTCTTAAATAAATATTTAATTATAATTATTTTTCCATAGGAATTAGGATTTTTTAAAAATTAAAAATCAAACCATTTTGAAATTAAACAACTTATAAAAAATTATTATAAAACATGAAGAAATCGATCACTCCGAGTCGAAAACTCGGAGCAATCGTTTTCTTCATGTTTTATAATAATAAATTAAAGATGAGCGAGTGATAAAATCATTATTTTATATTATAAGACTTTAAAAAAAAATTTTTTTAATTATATTTCATGAAAATATTTGAATTATTGCAAAGAAATTTATAAAAAAAATTAGTAGGTAAGTAATTGAATTTCTGTAAAAATTTTATTATTTATGAAAATAATAAAATGTTTGCTTCAAATTTTATTTGAATTTTTGCAAATAATTGAATTTCAGAGAAGAATTCTGTTATTTATAAAGATAATTGAAATTTTGAACACATTTTAAAAAAATTTTTTGAATTAATTGAATTTTGCAGAAGAATTTTTGATATTTATAAAGATAATTGAAATTTTGACAAGAATTTAAAACAATTTATGAAAATATTTGAATCTCTGCGAAGAATTTTATTACTTTTGAAGATAATTGAATTTTGCGCAGAATTTTATCAGAACTTTTAAAAATAATTAAATTTCCAGTATGAATTTTATTATTTATAAAGATAATTAAAATTTTGAAAATAATTGAATTTCTGCGAAGAATTTTCTTAATTTTTAAAATAATTGAATTTCTAGGATGAATTTTATTATTTATAAAGATAATTAAAATATGAACGAGAACTTAAAAAAAATTATGAAAATAATTGAATTTTTGCGAAGAATTTTATTATTTTTGAAGATAATTGAATTTGGTAAAGAATTTTATCAGAACTTTTAAAAATAATTAAATTTGAATGATGAATTTTTTTATTTATGAAGATAATTAAAATTTTGACGAGAAAATAAAAAAAAAAATTTCAAAATAATTGAATTTCTGCGATGAATTTTATTACTTTTAAAAATAATTGAATTTCTAGGATGAATTTTATTATTTGTAAAGATAATTGAAATTTTGACGAGAAATTTAAAAAAAAATTTGATAATAATTGAATATCTGCGAAGAATTTTGATATTTATAAAGATAATTGAAATTTTGACGAGAATTTAAAAACAAATTTATGAAAATAATTGAATTTTTGCGAAGAATTTTATATTATTTTTGAACTAGATAATTGAATTTTGCAAAGAATTTTATCAAAACTTTTGAAAGTAATTAAATTTCCAGTATGAATTTTATTATTTATGAAGATAATTAAAATTTTGACGAGAATTTAAAAAAAAATTATGAAAATAATTGAATTTTTGCGAAGAATTTTATTATTTATGAAGATAATTGAAATTTGGACAAGAATTTTATTAAAATTTTTTAAAACAATTGAATTTCGGAGAAGAATTTTATTATTAAGAATAAGAAAGAATTAAGAATTTAAGAATAAATAAGAATTAAGAATTAAGAATAAAAAAGAAATAAGAATTAAGAATTAATAATTGATATTTTAAAAAGAAATTTAAAAAAAAAATAAAAAAATACCTAATTAAAATTTTACTAAGAATTTTATTAAAATTGTATTCTGGATTGTTTGAAATTAAAGTATATGTGTTATCGAAAAATGCGATTTTTTAAACAATTTTTTTTACAATTTTGTGTTTCTTTTTTGTCGTTTTTTCTAAAATTCCAGGTGACTTTTTTCCGACTTTTTCTGAAATTTTATGCGACTTTTCGTAACTTTTGTTGTGAATTTATGCGACTAAAGCGACTTTTCTTTTAGTTTTAAATACGATTTGAGCTCTGTATTTACTTATTTTGATTTATTCAGTTTTTAATAAGGTATTTATTATTTATTGTTTATAATTTATTTCCATTCGTTTTCATACTTTTTAGTTCAGTTTTTAATTTAGTATTTTTAATTTTTTTTATTTTCACTGCTACATTTTTCTTTATTTTTAATTTCTTTATATTAACAAAAATTTTATTTCTAACTTAATTATATACGAATTGTTTATTATAATTAATTGCACTAATTAATTAGAATATGTAATTTTACTAATTAAATATTCTAATTAATTACATCAATTAATTAGTATATGTAATTGTACTAATAAGAGAGAAATTGAGAGAAATTGTTTAGTTACTAAATAATTAGTAGAATTTATTGTACTAATTTATTATTAGAATTAATTGTGCTAATTAACTATTAATTAGTAGAATTAATTGTGCTAATAATTATTAACTGGTAGAATTAATAAGAAGAATAAATTTATTGAATTAGTGGAATTAAGTTTACTAATTAATTGTCAGAATTAATTGTATTAATTAATTGGTAAAATTTCTTATTACATTTAATTAGTAGAAATAGTTAATAGAATTATTTGGTAGAATTAGTTTATTGAATTATTGGGTGGAATTAATTATAATTAATTATTAATTACAATAATATTTCTGGACGGAATAAAAAATTTAGCTTTTATTAATTAGTATAAAGGAATTGAAAAAAATAAAAAATTCGGTAATACAAATATATTAATTAAAAATTTTTTTTTACTAAAATCGGTGTTATTTATTAGTAATAGTTAATATTATTTTTGTTGCAAACTAAATTAATATCAATAAACATTAATTTTTTTTCATATTAAAAAATTTCTCCATTTTTCGAAAATAAATAATACGAGAAGTGCTAAAGTCTTCAGAGTGCAATATTTAAAGAGTAAGAAAAAAACCCTCCACTCGTGTTTATATACTTTTTTGTCGAATAATTGCATTGACGTTAGTACATTATAGATTATGATCTTGAATTATAAATATATATTATAAAAACAATGTAAGTCAGTAAGGTGCAAGAGAAATAGAAAGATGTATCTTTTTTTTTATTATAACGCGTGGCAGCCTTGAATAAATAATTACCGCTTTATTTGCTAACCAGACACTTCTGACATTAAAGACCCTGAAGTACGCTTATGATAGCTGCATCTCAAATATGTATCTAGAAGAATCTACTGCAATGAGCATATTATAAATCGAAGTGTATTTCAATCGATATTCTTTTATAAAAATTATTGCCAATTTTATCATTTTCATTTTTTCTTTATTATATTAATAACATTCTGTGAGTCAATGAAATTTATAAATAACTTTCTTACAGCAGAGAAAACCGCATTTATATGAATCAATTATGTTTATTATTTACAAGAATAGTTTATTAAAGATTTGCCATTATTTTATAATTTACAATTAAAAAATTGTTTAAAAATAATAAAATAATGAAAATAAAATAAAAAATAAAAAATTATTTGAAGTAAAAGTATTATTGTATAAAATAATTAAATTCACGTAATAAAATTTAAAAAATTAATAAAAATTTGCTTTGGATAGTCAGATAATTAATTAATCCCAAGATTCTAAATATAATCTAATAGATTAAATTGTACACTATTTTAGAAATTATATTTTTAATTAACGCACTTATAATGAATTTACTTCATTTTTTCTAC